ATATATATATATATATATAATTTACATGTAGCACATCAATTCTACGTGTTATGTAAGACTACCTCTCTGGATCTTTAGTGTCTAGACGTGTCAGTCTCAGTTCCTGGATGGTGACTGTCCAACCAACCTCAACACACCTGCCTAGAATTTTCTAGCAATCCTGAAGACCTTGATTAGCTGGTTCAGGTGTGTTTAATTCGGTTTGAAGCTAAACTCTACAGGACAGTCGCCCTCCAGGAACTGAGTTTGACACCCCTGGTCTAGATCCAAAACTGTGGACTACCCTGCACATCCATTGATATCAATAAGAATAGCTTACTAACTGTGCTGTAAAAACACGGACAATGAAACTCTCAAACGCGAAGTCTGTGCTAAACTTATTCTTAGCCTCTAAATCAATCACTGGCAAGTGAAATCTACCAGTTTGTTAGTCAATGGCTAACAACAGACAATATTAAGTCACCTTTAGTGACTTTAGTCACATATGTGAGCGATTGACTTGTAGAGTATTGTATTATTGAAGAATGTAGAAATTGGAGTAGAAACAAAAAATAATATAATTGAAAAGCTGATATAAAAACTGTCACCTTTAGTGACTTTAGTCACATATGTGAGCGATTGACTTGTAGAGAATTTGTTTTATTGAGGAATGTAGAATTTGAAGAATGTAGAAATTGGAGTAGAAACAAAAAATAATATCATTGAAAAGCTGATATAAAAACTACATTATGTGCATTTTAATGTTTTTATACAAATCAGTTTTTATTTGAGTGTTGATCACTGTTGGGGGTAACACATTACAATTAACGCGAGTTACATAATCAGATAAATTTTTCAAGTAACTAATAAAGTAACGCATTACTTTTAAATTTACAATGAAATATGAAGAGAGAAATTTGTGAGTGAGGTGCAGAGGCAGAGGCACTTCCTTCAGCTGGAGGCTTATTAATGTCACTTTTGGTGTAAAAGGGCCTTTACAGTTGCCAAAAATATAGCTTTGGGTTTTTTGTTATTAAAAAACAAATAAGCAAGGCATGCCCAGCCCAGGTGACAAAAAGCAATGCAAAAGTAATGTAATGCATTACATTTCATAAGGAGTAACTAAGTAACGCAATTAGTTACTTTTTATGGAGTAACGCAATATTGTAATGCATTACTTTTAAAAGTACCTTTCCCCAGCCCTGATGTTGATTATGATTATCTAAAAATAAATAGCAATTGAATTTGGACTCAACAAATGTGGATTTTTTTTGTACTGTACCGTCTATGTATATATATATACACCTGTCAATATTGAATGAAAATTGGAATCAAATCAAGAGCTTGTCAATTAAAATTGAATCGATTCATAAAATCTCTGTCAATACCCAACTGTATAGTTAATGTTTTCTTAGTTCCAGTAATAATTACTGTATAAAGGCATTCTGATTAGTAAAATTGTCACTGTGCCAGATGTTACTTCTATGATGCCATGTCTAGTGCAGAGCTACGACCATTGATTCATTCAAAATGATGTACTTCTTGTTATAATGTAACTATGCCCAGGACAAAATTGTATCCAGATGATCATATTTTTGCATGGTAATGCTGTTTAAAAATCGAGGCCCTGAGCCATCAAACCTATCTCAAAGTTCACATTTTAATCAATGGGTTTTTGAATGGGTTTTTGGTTAAATGCCTGAAATAGGGTCTTCCTAAACTTCATCACACTGAACAGGTAAACTCATACTGACTGGTTTGCTTTCACAACTCATTGTGTTTGTAATCACACTCTTTCAAACTATTCAACTCAAACTTTCTAATTAACGCGAGTTACATAATCAGATTAATTTTTCAAGTAACTAATAAAGTAACGCATTACTTTTAAATTTACAATGAAATATGAAGAGAGAAATTTGTGAGTGAGGTGCAGAGGCAGAGGCACTTCATTCAGCTGGAGGCTTATTAATGTCACTTTTGGTGTAAAAGGGCCTTTACAGTTGCCAAAAATATAGCTTTGGGTTTTTTGTTATTAAAAAACAAATAAGCAAGGTATGCCCAGCCCAGGTGACAAAAAGCAATGCAAAAGTAATGTAATGCATTACTTTTCATAAGGAGTAACTAAGTAACGCAATTAGTTACTTTTTATGGAGCAACGCAATATTGTAATGCATTACTTTTAAAAGTACCTTTCCCCAGCCCTGATGTTGATTATGATTATCTAAAAATAAATAGCAATTGAATTTGGACTCAACAAATGTGGATTTTTTTTGTACTGTACCTTCTATGTATATATATATACACCTGTCAATATTGAATGAAAATTGGAATCAAATCAAGAGCTTGTCAATTAAAATTGAATCGATTCATAAAATCTCTGTCAATACCCAACTGTATAGTTAATGTTTTCTTAGTTCCAGTAATAATTACTGTATAAAGGCATTCTGATTAGTAAAATTGTCACTGTGCCAGATGTTACTTCTATGATGCCATGTCTAGTGCAGAGCTACGACCATTGATTCATTCAAAATGATGTACTTCTTGTTATAATGTAACTATGCCCAGGACAAAATTGTATCCAGATGATCATATTTTTGCATGGTAATGCTGTTTAAAAATCGAGGCCCTGAGCCATCAAACCTATCTCAAAGTTCACATTTTAATCAATGGGTTTTTGAATGGGTTTTTGGTTAAATGCCTGAAATAGGGTCTTCCTAAACTTCATCACACTGAACAGGTAAACTCATACTGACTGGTTTGCTTTCACAACTCATTGTGTTTGTAATCACACTCTTTCAAACTATTCAACTCAAACTTTCTGGGCTTATTTTCTGCAATCCAAAAGCCAATAAAACAATCCAGTCACACTTTAGTTTGGGGACCAATTCTCACTATTAACTAATTGTTATCTACAACTTTTGTCTCAATAAACTCATAATTGGCTGCTTATTAATAGTTAGCAAGGCAGTTGTTAAGTTTAGGTATGGGGTTGGATTAAGGGATCTAAAATATGGTCATGCAGAATAAGGCATTAATATGTGCTTTATAAGTACTAATAAACAACCAATATGCTAGTAATATGCATGTTAATAAGCAACTAGTTACTGAAATCTGAAAATATAGCTTTGAGACAAGGGTAAAATAATAATAATAATAATAATAATATAATAATAATAATAATAATAAAGGCATTTGAAAAGTAGCAAAAATAAGTGATGATGGGCCAGTCAATAAAAAGTATCACAAGCCACTTTTCTATAACAACAGCAAAATAAAATAAAAATAAAAATAAAAATCTGTTAGTTTGAATAAAAGTCTCCCACTGGGACATAAAAATTCCTGTAGTTGAAGAAACACAAGAGTGTCCAAATACCTTTTGGGGCCACTAGCTGAAACTATAAAAGGTTCTGCTCCACCTATATGTTTAGAATTATTAATTGCAATGAAATGATGTGAGATAATGTGGCAAAAGTATCTGAATTGTTTAGGCACTGCCTCAGTCCTCCTCTCATCCTATGCCTGTCTTTCTCCCTCTCTCACTGTTTTTCCATTGTTAGTGAGATCCAGGCCTCTAAAGCAGCCAAAGCAGGCAGGGTTTGGAACATCTGGAGCTGATGGTGAAATGGTTTAAACAAGAGGCAACTGGTATTTGTAAAAGCAAAGGATTTATTTATATAGCTATAACTCTTAATGAACTAGCCTTCAACAGCTGCCTAAGATTTCCAATTCATTTTCACTGAAATTGGACTGGATTGTCACATTATTCAGTTCCTCCCTGACCCGAAGGTTTAGATAATTCTTGGGAATGGATGAGAGCACAAAACCCTCCCCCAACCGCATCTCTCAGCTTTTATTTCAGAACGAGAACAGTTCAACGAGGGCATTTCACTTAGAGCTGGACTCAAAACAATAGCAGTTGGCCAAGCAGCCATTAGGTAAGTTATGTTTCACGTTACATTCAACCTTTGCTCAGGAATAGTTTGGTGTTCAGAGACAGATGACTAATATAACCATAATAAAATAATAGGCTTTGTCCAAAACTGTAATAGGAGTATTGAAGACCTCACTGTACAGTTAAGCAAGGTATAATGTATTGTCAGTCAGTCACAGAAATCATAACAGTGTTGTATAAAGTATAACTGTCATAAGCAAATTTGACTCTAAAATTTTCTAATGTCTGAGTTTGAGACACATGTGATGCCTTCTGCTACACACACAACCACCTTCTCAAGGTCTTCTGGGGGTGCTAAACCTCCTAAACGAATCATTGTATGTGTCACTACTATATGCTCCATTGAGTGTTTTCTCTTTGATCAAGTGAAGAATCATCTCAGATTCATAAAATGAATCATTTGGAGCAGGGGTGTCAAACTCAATTCCTGGAGGGCCGGAGCCCTGCAGAGTTTAGATTCAACCCTTATTAAACACACCTGATCCAACTAATCAAGCTTATTTGAAAACTACATGGTGTGTGTGTGTTGGAGCAGGGTTGGAACAAAACTCTGCAGGGCTCCGGCCCTCCAGGAACTGAGTTTGACACCCCTGATTTAGACCATTTTGCGAACCGGTTTAACAGAATCAAAAGAACTGAATTGATTAAAATATTCATTCGCAAACTTTATATCTCTATATACATTTTGCATGATTTTCTCACTATTTGTTTGCTACTTTGCAGTAGCAAAATTGTGAAAGGGTCTGAAAGGAAATGTATCGGAATAAAAGTATACATTTTCTCTTCAAAGTAAAGTAAAAGTAAGTCGACACAATGCAATATGTATATTTTTGTTTCCAAAAACTGCATTTTGGTGACTCTGAAGCCCCCTACAGTTAGGTGGGTGGAATTCACTGTCATAAATGTAGTATCACTGTCATAATAACAGTGGATAGCTGTACACGTGCATTTGTTGCTAAAGCAATCTGGACTTTTCACAGAATTTAGTTCCCGCTCGCTAAATTTACATACTTCCAGAACAGACGTTTGGCGGGAGCTAGGGAAAGAAACAGAAAAGACAGAAACAGAAGCAAAAAGCCATTCGCCTTATTAGAAGTTAATGTATTATCAGAAAAACTTTGAAACTGATATTTCAAAGTAAAAAACTAACATACAGTTGCTTTAAGTACAGTAACAAAGTGTTTCTGCTGATAATATTAACAAGCAATTTAAACTTGAAGCTATTTATTTATTAATTTGGTAGTCATGTAATAAGAGGGATAATATATATATATATATATATATATATATATATATATAT